CGCAGCAGAGGGCTGCGCTGCTGCAGCGGCTCCCAACATAACCAAGCCGCGCTGCTGCTGCTGCTGCTGCTGATGCTGATGCTGCTGCTGCTGCTGGTGTTGCTGCTGCTGCTGCAAGCGAACGCCTGCGCTCAGCAGCAGTTGCTGCGCCACCTGAAGGGCAGCAGCTTCGCTTGCGACGGCCTCTGCCGCTGCTTGCAGCAGCCGTTGCTGTATTTCTTCCGCACTGAGTTGCTGCTGCTGCTGCTGCTGCTGATGCTGCTGCTGCTGCTGTTGCTGCTGCTGCTGCTGCTGCTGCTGCAGTGCGCTAGGAAGCTTGAAAAGAGCAGCTAATGCATCCTCAAACGCGTCAATTTTGTCTGTCGGTAATTCCTTTAAAGGCCAAGGGCCCCAGGCTGCTGCCACGAGAGACTGCTGCAGCGACAGATCTGCTGCTGCTGCTGCTGCTGCTGCTGCTGTTGTTGCACCGTTTTTTGTGTCATCCGATGCAGCAGCTGGGGCGCCTGCTGCAGAAGCTGCTGCACCTGCAGCAGCAGCAGCAGCAGCAAGAGCCTCTCTGCCTATAAAAGGGTCAGCTACGGCTTCTACGAGCAGGCGTGGCGCTGGGGGTGCCACTCCCTGCTGCTGCTGCTGCTGTTGCTGCTGCTGCTGCTGCTGCTGCAGCAGTGACAAAACTCTGTGGGCGAAGTTGCCAATCTGCTGATCCAAGACCTGAGCAGCAGCAACAGCAGCAGCAGCAACAGCACAAGACAGCACCACACAAACCGCAGAAACGGACATGCCATGCCTGTCGCTTAGAGCTCAATACTGCTGCTGCTGCTGCTGCTGCTGCTGCTGCTCATGTGTTTTGCTGCTGCTGCCGGCTGCTGTTTCTCAAGCTCACCCGGTCAGCGCCAAGTGTACGTACAGCTGCTTCTGCTGCTGCTGCATCGGCAGTCCAGCTTCTTCCTAGGAGTTCTCTCAAGAGAGTTGCTTCGGGCGCTGCTGCTGCTGCTGCTGCTGCTGCTCGTGCAGCAGCAGCAGGAGAAGCAGCAGCTGCTGCTGAAGCAGCAGGTGCTGCAGTTGATTTGGCAATTTTATCTCCTGCAGGTCTAAGGAGCCACCCGTGGGCCAGCTGCTGCAGCGGAAGCCGCTGCAGCAAATGAACAGGCAGCAACTCCTCATCCTCAGCAGCACTGCTGCTGCTTTTCTTGCTGCTGCTGCTGCTGCTGCTGCTGCTGCTGCTGCTGCTGCTGCTGAGGGGAGGGTGCCGGAGGGCAAGCAGCAAACCCAAGAAGAAGACAGCGTGGAAACGAGCAATATCTCGCCCAAAGACCTGCAGCCGCGGGGGCCTGAAGCAGCAGCAGCAGCAGCAGCAGCAGCAGCAGCAGCAGCTCCAAAAGCAAGCTTCATCGGCAGATGCCGCTGCTGCAGCAGCAGGGGCACCCAGCTGTCAGCAGCAGCAGCAAGAAAAGCAGCAGCAGCAGCAGCGGCAGAAACAACAACAACAGCAAATACAGGACCACCCGCAAGAAGAGTGCCGCCGCCACAACCACCATCGACAACAACAACAACAACAGCAGCAGCAGCAGCAGCAGCAGCAGCAGCAGCAGCAGCAGCAGCAGCAGCAG